GCTATCGCCGCCTTGGCAGCCCCGGCGCTGCGCGGGTGGCACTTGCTTGTGACCGCCCAGCGCGCGAGACCGCAGGGCACCGCGCATCGCGCGCAAAGGAGTGCGTGCCCGCCATCAAGTGACCCGCCCAGGACTCGAGCCTGGAATCTCCGGCTCCGGAGGCCGACGCCTTATCCATTAGACCAACGGGCCAATGGGCTGCGCCCGACTTGGCGACCGCGCCATCGGGGACGGATGCGCCGATGGGCGAGGAGTTCCCTGCCTGCAATGCCACCGCGCAGGGGCGGGCCACGCCAGATTGGAGCATCTGGGTGGGGGGTGCGGCGTGGTTGCGCAAAATGATTGTATGCACTTCTCGATTTGTGCGTGTCATCCTTGCGCAGGGGCCATGCTAATCTTCTCTGCGTCGTTTCAATTTCAACGGGTGATCCCCGAAGGGAATCCGAAACGCGCGCGCTGGGAGGGGGCGGGCATTCTCGCCGTGCAGTTCCAGTCGCACTCAAGCGCCTCAGCCTCGGCTGATATATATATATATATATATATATATATATGTATATATATACACATGTTTTTTTTGTGTGTGTTCTCTCTCTCTCTCTCTCTCTCTCTCTCTCTCTCTTCCCCCCTCTCTTTTTCTTTTCTGTGGCTCCCTGGCTCGCTGGCCGTCGCTGGGGCGCACGTCGCCTGCGCTGGCTGACGAGGCAGGGTTGGGTCTGAGACGACGCAGTGCGAATGTTGGGGGTTACCCATTCAAAAATAATGGAAGTCAAGTTGATGCGTCCCTCTCACGGCAATTTTTAGTAAAAGGCGGAAGATGGGTACGAGCTGAAATGAACGCTGTGATGCATGCCACTTTCGTCGCTGCAATTCTCGCAGCGTCGCTGTTGCATGTTGCGGCGGTTTGCAAACGCGGAGAAACGAGTTATATTGGCCTTTTCTGGGAACTCGGGGAGGCGCGGGGAGCGCCGCGGCCGACGACGACTCGAGCGATTCGGACAGCCTGGTGGTGGCTGTGGCGGTTTTGCGGCGGCGGCCCCGCCGCCTCCAGACCTCCGGCGGGCTGCCCTGTACACGCCGATCTCATCGTGGAGTCGGCGGCGGGAGGGCCGACGTCGCTCGAGCGCCTGGCGGTGGCGGCCAGGGCGCGGGCCTGCTATGGCAAGTACCTCGACAAGTTGTTCTTTTATTCAGGCCTGAGCGACGCCATGGTGACGATGCTCGTGGACGAGAACTGGGGCTGCCAGCTGTGCGACTACTTCGCAGCCATGCACCTGGGGGGGGCAGGCCAGCCTGGGGGAGCAGACGGGAACGGCTCTGGGCGATCGGTTCCAGACCTTCGGGCGCAAGGGAGGCCGCTCTCTCCCTCGGACGTGGCGGGCGCAGAAGGCGTGGCGTCGTCTGGTGCCCTCGTGGACCCGACGCGCTCTCCCCCTGGCTGTGTGGGCCGTCGTGATGTGGCGCCTAGTGGAGATGGGGATGCTGGCCTTGGCTCTGTTCGTCGTGGTTGGGTTGTCAGCCTACTCGCTTCCCTCCTCCTTGCTGGCCGCGCGGATGTGCGACCTGGTGCCGCCGGCCCAGGGCGTTGCGAACTGCTGGGGCCTGCTGACCCATCTACAGGCGCGGCAAAGCAAGACGAACCGCTCCGACGAGGGGTGCCTTCTCGACACGCGCTACCTGAGGGGTCTAGGACCCTTCTTCAGCCAGCTGCGCGGGGCCGGCGGCGCGGGGCCCCTCTGGCCGTTCAAGTGCCCCGAGCTGTCCGCAACAGCGGCCGAGGTCGGGGCGGGAGAGCTAACGCCGTATCAGCTCTGGCACCCAGGGGCGAGCATCGACGTTTACAAGAGGCATCGCACACTAGAGGAAGTCAGGAGGCGGGGCTGCTGGGCCCAGGCGAAGAGCATGCACCGCTACGAGCACAGCAGCCGCCTGAGTGCCGAGCACGAGAAGCACCCCGAGGATCAGCGGCGCCTGTACGAAGCGTGCGAGGCCCACCTGCAGATGATCCTCCTAGGGCCCTAGGGATGCCCCGCCCGGTGCAGACGCCAGCAGGCATGGGGGCCTGACAGGCCCTCGGAGCTACCTGAGGCTCTCTTGCCGCGGCTGCCGTGTGCGGCAGCTGGGCCCCCAGCGTTTTGGGGGCCTGCGGGGGCGCTGCGTAGCTGACCTGTTTGCGAGGAGTAGGTGCATCTCGAGTACTGTTGAGGTGCGTGGATTCAGGGCCCGAAACTTGGACGTGCCCGATCGCCCCGTGCGGCAGAATTTGCTTGACGATCATGTCGCACAGGCCATCCGACGTGACGGCCGCCGTAAGCTTATCCTCACCGCCTCGCTCGCTCCTTCGTGCCTGACTTTCTGTATCGCCCGTGACAGAACCGCCGAGATCCGATCAGGTGATGTGCCCTGGGGCCTCCCGCGGCATAGGCTCTCGGCGCGGGGTGCTGACAAAGTAAGACTCGGGAATCAACTCGCTCGTGCTGCTCACCCGCTGTTTGCTTTCTTCCTTCGGGCCAAGATTCCCGCATGTCTCGAGGGCGCGCTAACATCGAGATGGTGGCGCACTTGTGAAATGCAGTTCCTCGCTCGCCAAGCCAGTGTGCTCCTAGTTGAATTGGAGAATTCGACCAGTTCCAGTTTCGTGCTACATGCAAGAAGTGCCGCGTGCTAGAGGGCGATGCGCGTAATTTATGCAGGAGGTGCAAAGGCACCGGCGGGCTCTGCTCCCGCACTGGTCGCCCCCGCCTTCAGCTCGAGGGAAGTGCCCGCGCTCGTCCCGCTGCTGCGCATCCGCCAGAACTTGCCCATTGCCTCCGTCAGAGCCCTGGCGGCCTCCACTGTAGCCGCTTGTGGTAAAAACGAGCCTCCCCCACCTTTGCTTTGCCGCAGTGAACTCCCAAGTCGGGGAACTTGGGGAGGAACGAGGGTCGTTTTTTGACTTCTACATCTGGCCTAGACATTTCGAGGCTTTCGTCAGATCTGTCCCTCTTTTGCGACAAAGAAGATTGGCTCAGTGTGTTCTTGAATGGTATGAGCTGAATGTTTGGAGCGTTTTGATGTGTAGGAGTGTATTTTCTTGTTTACAGAAACTGCGTGGACACGCGCCCAATGGCAAGGCAGTAGTACATCTGATTGATGCATGCTGCAAGTTACAGCGCTCGCAGGTACGTTCCAGCCACTCAGCGAAGATGCTGGCAGTTGCTCATAACCTCAAGGACTGGTACCCTACCATTGTTACGCTACGTGAGCTTAGAGCTGGACCTCTAACGCCCACTCAACTTACGGACGCATTGGAGTTAGGTGGTCTTTTCATTAAGGCCGTCCGTGCTATAGACGCTGAGGCGGTCTCCGAATTTTTGTCAAGTAAGGGCGTGAAGAAGCCGGCCGAATGTGCCCTGCCGGGACATTTCAGCTGTATAAGGCAGATGATGGACCGACGTCGAGTGTATAGCGTGCAACGGCGTGATGCACGGGATATGATCGTTGACGGCCATGCCGAGGAGTGCAATAAGGACGACTACTCAACCTCAGACAGGGGGTTATCCTTGCCCGGACACGGGCATGTATGCGTGCAGCGTGGCCATCCTTGCCCGGCCACGGGCGTAGACACTCATGGCTTCGCGGTTGCCATGAGTGCCCAGGCATCGGCATTGGCGCTTTTTGATGTTGAAAGGGGATCTGACCGCTAAGTCATATTACCTCGCATCGCGCACGTTTGTCGGCTGGCATTTGGCCAGCCGCCCCATTAATCATCGACAGAAGGTCGCGCGGTCTTGCCCGTGGCCATGTGTGATGATCTGCGGCTGGTCGTGGCAATGCGCCATGACCAGCCCTAATGCTCTGTGCTGCCTTTTCTGTGCCTTGTTACCGCGTGCTGCTGAGGATGATGAAAAGCATTATTATCATCCTTCTTTACTCGACATAATTCGTTAGGACTTGGATCTAGCATTTGGCCCCGACGTTGAACGAGGTTTAATGAGAGGCTGTATAGCGAACGCTATATCCAACGCTGTCTTGGCTCAAGGCAGCGCTGTCCCTTGGTGCGCTGTGTGCCTCTATTTGCGGGTCATAGCAGCGGACAACGGCCACGTCCTTCTATGATTCATCTCCCATTCCCAGGACTTCTCTATTACCTCTCGTCATGCTTACCATCGAGGGATGAATTGTAGGATGCCTCGATGCGTCGCCGACGTTATCCTCAGTGTAGGGCTATTTTCTTATTGTCTCATGGTCAAGCCCTGTACTTTTACTTTCAATTCGGTGCAGCTGGCTTCGGCCCCGCCGCCGTTGTTTTTTCCAGGGATGAACTGGCGCGTCCCGGCGCCGAGGTGGGATTGCAGGGCTGCAGAACCGATGCCAAGCAGGAGGGATGGGGAGGGCGAGAAGGCGGGGACTGCCATGGCTGGGGTGAGGCGTGAATCGAACGTTGTGGGTGCGAGGGGGCTGGGGGGGGTCGTCGCCCCGTGCCAACCGCACTTGACGCGACGACGTGAACAGCTTGGTGCTCCGTGGCCATACCGTGACAATATTTAGTGACCATCAGGATGTTTCGAACCGAGCCCTTGGTGGGCTGGCGGGGCCTCGAGGCCGTACTAGACTCCATCGGTAGCCCCGCGATGGAAATAACTCAGTGCTGCATAACGAGTTCGATGTTACGAGCGGTGCCCTAGAGAGTCGGACGCATTTGTGCAGATATGAAAGGCCTTCGCCAGACGTGCTGGTTTGTTTCGTTGCAGCAGTATCTGATTGGCTCTGGCGTTGGATGCGCGCAGGCTGCGTGTACCTTGGTTGAACAGAGCAAATCCGGACAAAAATAATACGACAATGACGAGGAGGAGGGGGGAGAAGGAGGAGGGAAACAAAAATGGAAAACGCGGAGGGAAAAGGAAGAGTGCAATCGGCCATTGTAGTAAGGATGCAGGGCCACATCAAGGCTGCCCTTGCATGGTCAGATTCCCGATCCTCCCGTGGAGTTGGGTCCTCGCTTCATCTCCACGGCGCCGCGCGTCTTCTTCCTTATCCTCTCGCCACCTCCTCGTCTTCCTGCCACTGCTGCCTCGCTGCCTTCTGCATTCTGCTGCTGGTCCTGGTTTCCGCTCGGCACGCCCGTCGCACGGGCTGAGCCCCACAGGGGGAGCCTCGGCTCCCGGGCGCACCCTCCCCCAAAGACGCGGGTGACTGGCGCGACCGTCGTGGACCCGAGGCCTCCACGCTGGCTCGCCCGAGCGAGCGGGCGAGTGACGGCACTGCCTCGTTGTCTCGTGGGAGGGGAGCCGAAGAGTTTCGCCCTGGGGTGTGCGAAGCTGACCGCACCCTGCGCGTCGCAGCCCCGGCCAGTGAGCCGTCCTGCCGGGGCGGCGGCGCCTCGTGCAGCCACGCCGCGTGCACCGCGCGCCGCGCGGAGCGCGAAGGCGGGCGGCCTGGTCTGGGCCACTGCACGCCCACGAGGTCGGTGGCGTTCTGAAGCTGGAGCTGAGAGTAATCAGTCGGGGGCGGCCAAGAAGGGGGTGATGACTAGGGGGGGTGGACATCATGGCGCGGGCCATGACATCTCCCCAGATGGCATGGCGCCTCGTCTTATTTCATTACGTCCCTGGCCCTCCCCCCTGGGCCGCGCACATTCCGCCGGTCATGATTTGCATCCCCTCCTTGCGGACGGCCCCATCTTGTCCGTCCCCGAATCGTGCTACTGCTTCCGGATCGAGGAACTGTGAGTCGATTTGGCCGGAACTCGGGTTTGCCGACGCTTTTGATGTGCCCGTTCTCAATTTTCACCTCGGCGGTCCAGCTTTCGTGGGATGCCTGCAGCGGGAGCTCCCGTCAGGTTCCGGCCTGGGCCTCGCCATGTTCCTGACGGCCCCGCCAGGCCAGCTCGAGGCCCCGGAACCCGAGTCTTACGTCTTTCCGACTAGGGCGGGAGGTAACGGTGACCATGGGGGGGAGACAAAAACCCAGGAACTATAGGAAAATATGGGGAATCTTTTTGTTGGTGTGCATTTATTTGTGTGTCTCAGGGCCTCTTCAGGCGCGCTTGTCTGCCGAATTCCTGTTCAGGGTTCACGAAGCAAAGCCAGGCGGTGGCTGAAGCTAAGGCCAGGCTCCACCAGGGCGAGGACCGGCCCTGTCGCCGTCATCGCCACGACCGCCAGGGGCTCGAGGCCCCCAATCTTGGCAGGACTTACTTTTCCCATTCATAAGCACATCCTGCGACTGCATATCTACGGGAAGCTCGGCTCCGCGGGACACCACCGAGCATGCATGGACACCATGATAGAGCAGTCCCACGGGTCATCTTCATCGAGCAGTGGCGATGACCTTCCCGATGAGTCGACTCCCCTCGTTGCTCACGAGAATCCGCAGCCTCCGAAGGCGAAGTCGGACCCCCAGCCAGTCATAGAGCGGTGCAGCACCCAGGAGCGCTTCCTCAGAGAGAGGTGCAGGTCGTGGAACCTGAAGCTGAACTGCATGGAGGAACCCGAAGAGTAAACAACAGCACAGACATAGACTTTGGGAGCCCCGCGCGGAGAGTTCTTGGATCTGCCCTGCCCTTGCCTGGCGTGGCGCGCTCCCCTCTCCAGAGAGGGGCTTCCAGCGCAGATCCACGACATCCGCGCGGACCGTCGAGAGCTCATGCCGATGCTGAAATCGGGCACGTTCCTCTACAGGGGAAATGTTCAAACATAGTCAAACAAGATAGTCTGGGGACGATGTCATCATCATCATCATCATCATCATCATCATCATCATCATCATCATCATGTTTTTTTTTTGTTTTTGTTTGTGTGTGTGTATGTGTGTGTGTGTGTGTGTGTGTATGTGTGACATTTTCTGATTTGTTTTTGATCATGTTTTGTTTTTCGTCCAGAATCCGCCTGTGGGGGGACGCGCCCGACCTAAGCTTATGCCACCTCCTCTCCTTCCTCCAGGAGCGGCAGCTCGTGGAGTCCACCGGCCTCGGCTCCTTCCAGCCCGCGGTGAGCTTCCTCAAGGGAGCCCGGGCACGCCGGCCGTCCGCCCGCACGGGTCCAGGTCTGGCAGCTCCCGGGAGGAGGAGGAGGAGGAGGCGGAGGAGGAGGGGGAGGAGGAGGAGGAGGAGGCGGAGGAGGAGGAGGCGGAGGAGGAGGAGGCGTAGGAGGAGGAGGAGGAGGAGGGGGAGGGGAAGGAGGAGGAGGAGGGGGAGGAGGAGGAGGCGGAGGAGGACTGGGCCGCCCGCTGGACCGGTGAACGCGCGCCCTCCTCCCGTGGGCCAGCCGGGGCTCTCGGCGCCCCGAGCCCTCGCGGCTCACGGGGCTGGGGCTCCACGGGGTGGGGGGGGGGGGTTCGACGGCCCAGCGGGGTGCTCCGCAGCACAGGGCGAGGGCGCGGGGGGCGGGGCGGGGGGACGGGGGTCGACTAGACGTAAGGGTGACCTTTCGCCGGAGTGACCTTGGGTGCGGGCACAACGGGGTTCCCCGATCGCCGAACGCGATGCGATCGCAGCGCCTTGCGCGCCTGTGTTTGGTCCCCCCGCGGCCCCCCAGAAGCCGCGCACCGAAGGTCACTCTTACCCAGGGTCACTCCTGCGTGTAGCCGAGGGGGAGGGCGGTGTGGGCCGCAGCTCGGCTGCGGCCTCGGCTTCTCTTGGCCTCCCCGGCGCGGAGCTGCGGTCCCTCCCCCGCGCTCGAGAGGTCGTGGGAGCGGTGAGTTTCCCCAGGAGGCTGGGGAGCACAGCTTCTTCGGTTGGGGCTGGTCGGCCCCCCCCCCGACGGCGCGCACAGCGTGGTGGCGACGAGGGGGGGCCGCCCTCAAAGAAGGCATCGGGCCTTCTCAGCAGCTTCCCTGTCTTCTCCGAGAAGCCTCCACAGTGGCTTGCACGCCGCCAGCAACGAGCAGGAGGTGGAGGAGGGGGGCGAGGCGAGAAGAAGGGGGGGAGGGAGGCAATAGTGAGGAGGCAAGGAGGAGAACGCGGAGCTGGAGGGAGGGTTCAGGCTGGTCCTGGCAGCCCCTCGAAACAGAAAGAATCCGCCGACCCGGTCCCAGGATTGGCCCCGCCAGGCGCCGGTGCAATCGGATACAGTTGAGGTTGATTAGTAGGTCGACCCTTCCAAGTCAAGGGCACCCTTGTGTCCTGTGCTTCTCGAGCCATGCCTTCACGTTCCCGTTGCAGTGTGGCCCTCGGCAGGGTTTGGTGTCCTCTCGCGTGTCCTCTCCAAGCAACCCCGACTGTATGCACAACCGGCGCGCTCCCAGGAGGGGAAGAGGACGCGAAGCCGATCAAGTACTCGGACGACGTGGGGACCTTCAGGGCGCTCACGCACTTCACGGGCACCGTGCTGGAGAGTGGCGCGCTGTGGAGGACCTGTGCGGTGTATTGGGCCATCGCCGTCGTCTCTGGCGTTGTCGCCTCTGTCAGTCAGGCCCAGATCGCCAGGGTCGGTAAGGTTCGGAGAAGAAGAAGAAGAAGAAAACAAATAAATGTAGACTTTCGGCGGTCCGCGCGGATTTCTGACTTGGATCCGCGCTGTGGCCCCCCTGGCGGCGCCTCCGGCTCCGCGAGCCAGGGAGGGGTGTTCGGCGCAGATCCAAGAAATCCGCGCGGACCGCCGAAAGTTTGTTGCTATGTAGTTTCTTCTTTTTCTACAGGTGGTCCCCGACTTCTCCCAGGTCAGGGGCAACCATGGGGGGGGATATGCATAGGGGGGGAATGCATCGGCCCCCAATCGCCCACTGATCGCGGATAGGGGCCCGATAGTCCCCACCTGCCCAGGCAGGTGCGGATTCGCTATCGGAGGCCTATCGCCGATCTATCGGCGATGTATCGCCGATTCCAGGTCGTGGCATCCCACCCTACGGCAGGTTCGTGTCGCGTCGACTGGCGGCGATTTCGCCAGCGGCGTTCAACGTTGAGCGCCGCGGGCGACCCATAATCGTTCGATGTGGAACGATTCGGACGTTTCGGAAACGGCCGATCGTTCAAGGTTGAACGATCCTCGCGGTGTCAGAAGCCAATACCGAAGTCTGCACGACACGATCCTGACGTTTGCCAATCCCCCCCTTATCGTTAAGTCGGGCACGTCCTTCCACAGGAGGGATATTCAAACATAGTCATAGCCAAGGGCCCTTTTGTTTTTGTTTTTGTTGTTGTTGTTGTTGTTGTTGTTGTTGTTGTTGTTGTTGTTGTTGTTGTTGTTGTGGTTGTGGTTGTGGTTGTGGTTGTTGTTGTTGTTGTTGTTGTTGTTGTTGTTGTTGTTGTTGTTGTTGTTGTTGAACATTATTTCTTCTTAAGAATAATTATTGTTGGGACCCCTGGTGCACGACCCCCCTCCAAAACCTAGGCCGCAGTCCTTCATTTTCCGAAAGGAAAAGTGGTGTTACCGGATCCGGTTGTTTTGTTGTAATCCGTTTTCCCTTGCAAAAAACACTATAAAATGAAAATTCTTGTTCTTACTTGATCAAATTGCAAGAATCCCTTGCAAAAAATAAGGTAAAGTGGACATTCGTGCGCGCAAGACGAAATCCTTCCAAAACCTTAGGTTTCGTAACGATTTTAACATAAAAACATCAAAAACCCAATGGTTTTTTAAGAAAAAATTGTCAAAATGTCCTTCCGCGCGCGCTGTCCGAATCCACAAAACCAATGGTTTTTCAACATTTATGTTACATGAGCTCGCGCGAGCTACTTTTTCTTGTTCTAACATAATCAAATTTCAATAATCCCTTGCAAAAAATAAGGTAAAGTGGACATTCGCGCGCGCAAGACGAAATCCTTCCAGAACCTTAGGTTTCGTAACGATTTCAACATAAAAACATCAAAAACCCAATGGTTTTTCAAAAAAAAATGTCCAAATTTCATCCCGCGCGCGCTGTCCGACTCCCACAAAACCAATGGTTTTTCAACATTTATGTTACATGAGCTCGCGCGAGCTACTTTTTCTTGTTCTAACATAATCAAATTTCAATACTCCCTTGCAAAAAAAAGTAAAGTGGACATTCGCGCGCGCAAGACCAACAAAAAACACGACGATCTCAGGAACTTGCCCCAAAAATGTGACCAACTCCGCTCTCTCTGTCTCTCTCTCTGTCTGCTCTCTGTCTCTCTCTCTGTCTGTCTGTGTCATGTATTGTATGTCACAATTGCAGGATGCTGGGCACACGCGCGCCCCGAATAAGTGACCAAGTTCTGTGGGTGTGTACCCCACGCCAGTGTAGTAGCCACGGTCGTCCGCACGCCACGAAGTGAAGTGTCCCAACGTCATAGGGCGGGAAGCTGGGTTTGGGTGGTCGCGAAGAGTCGTTTGGATATTTGGTAGAGCTTGAACTGCCCCCCCACGAAGTGGGGGGATTGTCTCGCGTCGCATGAAAACCCTGGCACTGGTGAGAACACTGAGCGTTCGGGTAAAATGATTGTTGTTGTTGTTGTTGTTGTTGTTGTTGTTGTTGTTGTTGTTGTTGTTGTTGTTGTTGTTGTTGTTGTTGTTGTTGTTGTTGTTGTTGTTGTTGTTGTTGTTGTTGTTGTTGTTGTTGTTGTTGTTGTTGTTGTTGTTGTTGTTGTTGATTTTTTGTTTATATATATATATATATATATATCGTATTTTTAGACTGTTTTGGAGTATTTTTTGAGTCTTGTGCATTTTCCGCCCAAAATCCCCCTGTAGGGGGACAGGCCCGACTTAACCCCGTCGTTGCCCCTCGCCAGGGCTTCGAGACCATGGCCAACTACTTCACTGGACTCCTCGGCATCATGACGAGCATGTTTGCGACCGCCTCGGCCTCTGCCCCTCCCCTCCCTCCCTCCCACTCCTCCTCCTCCTCCTCCTCCTTCTCCTCCTCCTCCCTCCTCACCCTTCTCCTCCTCCTCCTCCTCATCCTCCTCCTACTCCCTCCTCCTTCCCCCTTCTCCTCCTCCTCTTCTATTTCCTCCTCCCCCCTCCTCCTCTTCTTCCTCCTTCCTCCTCCGTTCATCATCCTTGTATGTGGTGATGCCACCGAGTGGACCACAAACAGTTGTTTCGTGTAACAACGTGTGTGCAGAGCCTACTGCAGCGGCCCGTGCTGTCCAAGGTGCCTCCCCGATTCCTCGCCCGCTACTCGCCGGCTGCATTGCGTGCGTGTCGGCTTGTTCGATTTCACGCATTTGTGGACCATCTGTTGGGGATTAAACGTGATCAGGGACACTGCTGGGGCGGATGAGTCTGCTGGCGGGTTCAGCCAGACCCCGTCCTCCTAGCCGGCTGGACCGGGCTCCCAGGGGAGAGGGTTGGGGAGATGCAACGATCTCACACGCCGACGTGATGATGGCGGGGACGATCACGGTGATGTGACGACTGTGTTGATAGGGATGGCGATGGTGACGGCGCTGACGATAAGCATCTTGTAGGTGATGGTGATGGGCATTACGATGGCGATGATGACGAGGAGGATGAGGAGGCGGACAGAGGTCGTCACGCTTTTCGGGCGCTGGTGGAAGATCAGGGCGGAAGGCATCGGCGGTCTCTGGGGCGCCATCGACGACCTGATAATGATCCTCTCCATTCACAGAAACGAGGTGTAATCCAGCGCCAGGGTTTGCGAAGCTCGCCTCTGGTTCCCTGCCATTCGTTGCCATGCTCGAATTGCTCCCCGCATCACTTCCCCCTCTTCCCCCCCCTCCTTGTCCTCCTCCGCCCTTTTTCTCCTCTTCTTGTCCTTGGCCGATGTTCAGCATGGGGTTGTCCCTTTCTCTTAGTGGAGAGGCCGCAACTCAAGGACGGGCCATCCTGGCCTGGCAACTCCGTCCCACCTCCCCCATTCACCCCAGGAGGAAGGAGGAGGAGGAGGAGGAGGAAGTAGGAGGATGAAGCAGATGAGGAGGAGGAGGAGGAAGAGGAGGGTGAAGAGGAGGAGGAGGCCGAGAAGGATGCCCGCTTCCCTTTCCTGCTTCTCCCTCCTCCATCCTCTCCCACCCCTCGCACTCTTCGGCCTTGCGCAAACATCGGCCAAAGCTCGAGGGCTCGCGAGCTCGTCCAGGAGGCCGTGAGCCTACGGTAGGTTCGTGTCGTTCCGACGCGGCGGCGACCCCCCGTGGGCTTTCAAGGTTGAACGCCGCCAGTGGCCGAGATTCGGCCAATGTGGAACGGTCTGGCTATCGGAAAGCCGCCGGTCGTTCGAGTTTCAACGATATTCGCATTGTCAGAGTCCAATGCCAGGCTCTCCACGACGCGGGCCTACCGTGCCCGAAGTTAGCCTTGGTTTCCCGACACGAGCTTAAGTCGGGCATGGTCC